TCACCCTTATTCTATAAAAAGTATAAAAAATAAAGTTACAAACTGTATAATATGTCCCACTGCTGGGCACTGGCCATCTCTAAAAGGAATAACAATCTGTACTCACGGTAGCCTTTAATATTTTTATTCATATAAAATCCAAAAATATTTTTCCAGATAAGTAAGTCGTTAGTATATGGTTAATGACCGTAATCGTTATAGCATATTAAAATCCACTGCTGAACATAGGCCTCCCTCCTAGGATATATATCAAATCTACCACGCTTGGCAAGCGGGTTGGCAATCGCTGTTTTTTTTATTTTTAGTCATTATTAGGAAGACACTGCTGTCCATCTCCTGCCTGCCTCCCTCTGTGGCCACTTCCTACACCCACGAAATGATATGGGGTAGTGAATATTCTTACACCGCCAGTACACGGAACTGACAGAACACGCACTTCAGTAACATGCACGGAATATTTTTCCAGAAGCTTTGTCCAGGCACGTCCCTTTGTCAATCTTAAGATTATTTATATACAAATATATTAATGCAAAAACTAACCTTTATTTCATTTATGCTGGGTTTAAAGCCAAATAAAATAAAATAAATATTATTTTTGTTGCTAGCCAACGAACTCGTGGCTGCTAGCTCATTTCATACATTATATACCTTTTAATGCTAAAAATGGCGTCAATCAATAAGTCAATGGAATCTGTCGCTGAGTGCTGTTTTAGAATGAGTTTAAAGTGTTTTGGCGGGAACTTGACTGCCGGTGGATTGCTGCTCCTGTGTCATCGTCCGTCATAAACAATAGTTTGAAGTAGATTTAAATAATGATTTCTTATATTTACGCGAACATTGCACATGATTAAAACTACTTTTTACGGATTTTATCGCGTTTATTTTAACTTTTTATTTTTAATTCCCGACGTTTCGGGCGCTTTCCAGCACCCATGGTCACGGGGGACTGAGATGACTGATGTCCCGATGTCATTGTTAAACCCGGAGTACCTTCAGCTTTTTTAATTATTATTTATGGTCCGATCTATGCAAAATGAACTGACTATGTCTTGAGTTCTTGCAGTGGTATGCTTGGGTTTAGTTTTAATTTTATTGATTATAGGATCCCAAGCAGGTGGTAGTACCAGCCTCCTTCTCTATTGAAATTAGGATGTTTTTTAATTTCAATAGCCTCACGTATCATCCTTGGTAGGAATCGGTGTTCTTTCGCGAGGATTTGTGGTCTATCAAATCTGATATAATGGTTGGGGCCGTCTAGGATATGATCACAAACTGCAGACTTCCCGGAACGTTGATGCTTCACATCAGCTATATGTTCTTTTACGCGGGTCCTAATTGATCTTTGATCTACAAGATGCAGGAGTGTACAAGCTTGATTGTGAATGTGGTCTCTCTTATATAGGACAAACCAAAAGATCAATTAGGACCCGCGTAAAAGAACATATAGCTGATGTGAAGCATCAACGTTCCGGGAAGTCTGCAGTTTGTGATCATATCCTAGACGGCCCCAACCATTACATCAGATTTGATAGACCACAAATCCTCGCGAAAGAACACCGATTCCTACCAAGGATGATACGTGAGGCTATTGAAATTAAAAAACATCCTAATTTCAATAGAGAAGGAGGCTGGGTACTACCACCTGCTTGGGATCCTATAATCAATAAAATTAAAACTAAACCCAAGCATACCACTGCAAGAACTCAAGACATAGTCAGTTCATTTTGCATAGATCTGACCATAAACAATAATTAAAAAAGCTGAAGGTACTCCGGGTTTAACAATGACATCGGGACATCAGTCATCTCAGTCCCCCGTGACCATGGGTGCTGGAAAGCGCCCGAAACGTCGGGAATTAAAAATAAAAAGTAAAAATAAACGCGATAAAATCCGTAAAAGTAGTTTTAATCATGTAGATTTAAATATTTAAAGTATTTAGATTATGTGTATTAAATGTCTGCGTATGTGAACTATTGGCGAAAACATTGAAACATCTGCTCCAATGGTGATATTAAGCTGCTTAAGCGCCTTGAGACTAGAGATACCAGTCATCAACTATCTCTTCTAGTCAAAATCTCCCAAAAACGCTTAAAAAGGTTTTAAAACAAATTAATAAAAAGGATAATTTCTTATGACTTATCACTGGCAAATGTACATCCGTACGAGTCCATTAACAAAGAAAAAATATACATAAAGTGAAACCTACAAGCAACGATAATAAAAAAACGTGTAATTGTTTTTAGACTTTAGAATAGCACGGGTTTATAATCTCAGATTGCAACAGTTCGACGTTTGCTCCACATCTCATCGCCTGAACCTTTCAGTGGGCGCTTGTTTTGCCGTGGGAAGACAGCATAACGAGTCTGTGCTTCTCAACGCAATTTAAATGGAACAGTCAAATGAATTACACAAATTAAATTACTATACACTAATAAACTTGTATTGAATTAAATTATAGATGCATTCAGTTTATTTTTTTGGGTCGCATTCATTATGGAGTTACTAGCAGCCTCAACTAAACTTTGACCTCAAGGTGACAAAACGTTTTATTTCGTTATAGAGTCGTACGTACATATTGCTATATCGAGTTGGATGTTTTAATTCGAATAAAAATTAATTGAGGATTATGTCATTTCTTTATTAAAATACTCTATTATAATTTTAGGTGGCCAATTTAATTTAGGCAATTACATAATATTAAGTCACATTTCGTAATTTTGTGTTTAATTCAAATTCACTCCACTTGTGTAGTTAAATGAAACTTTATTATTGCCCACTAAAATTATTTGTTACTAAAAGTTTATAATAAAACTTATTAGAATATATTATACGCAAGTGTGTGAGGTAGAGCAAGCATAAGAATAAAATTAATGCTGTATAATTAAGAAGTATGTTAGGACTGACTCTAAATCATAGGGATTCATCCCTTTGTTAATATATTCATAATGAGAAAAATGTCGTTAGCAAGATGATACTATGATCAGGATTAGAAAGCAATGCTCTTTGGTTTTTACATGTAAATAGAAAGAATGAGAAAGGAGCGACAAAGCAAATTTATACTAACAGAAGTAAGAAGCGGAACCAGCAAGGATCGTCCAAACAAAAGATTATTGAATAAATTGGAATATTGAAGATGGGCGAAATTAAGACTTTTTTTATATATAAGGGTGACAAACGAGCACACAGTCCACCTGATGATAAATGGATACTGTGATACAAAGACATCCACATTCATCATAAAGTAAAAAAGTAAAGTTACAGCCTATATACGTCCCACTGCTGGGCACAGGCCTCCCCTCATTTTTGAGAGAGGTTAGGACAAGGAAGTGTCCGCTGCACTGCCCCAAAATCGTGTTGGCGTACTTCACATGTCTTCGAAATATTTTTTTCTTATTCCTCAGTCATGCGGGTTTCCTCACGATGTTTTCCTTCGCCGTCGAGCACGTGGTGAATCAGCATTTAAAATTGCAATTAACTTTTATTGGTGCCGGCGGAGATTGAACCCGGGTTACTCGCGTTCTGTCATATTTACAGCGAGCGTTAACCATCTGAGCTACCACGGCTCTTACAAATGCGTTATCACCTCTGAGGACTAAGATGGAACGCCTCGATTCCAGTAAAAAGGGTCTCCGGTTCTCTACATTCACCATACGAAACAAAGCAGCATTAAGCTGCTATTTTACGTTGGTATTCTGTGAGAGCGTGGTCCTGCCTCGGTCAAGCCGACCCATTTGTGCTACAACTATAATATAGCTGCGCCATGGCTCTACCACGTAAAGGATTAAAAACTTAATTGAAATTAAGACTACCATTAATCATCTCCCCGTTTATTTCCATCTGTCGCCTCTTACTACACCCACAGGAGATGTCGATACTGGATATTCTTATACTACCACTATACGGCAATCTTGTATTTAAGTTATTTCACATGTTAACTTTTATGGATTTCAGTGGTTACTTGTAAGTTTGAGTACATAACTAGAGTACGGTTTATAAGTGATACAAGAAAAGAAACTAACATATATACGTCCCCCTATTGAACACAAGGCCCCTTATGTGTTGAGGGATAGAAAACATGAATTTTGAACAAAATATTAAACGTCTTTCGAAAAGTTAAATTATTCATATAACCAATCGATTACCAAAAAAATTAAGTATCTTAATTTAAGAAACAGGGTAAGTACTCTTATGTGAATAGTTCAACCGGAGCAATTAATTTCATTTGCATCATAAAAATCTAATTTAACGTTTTGTAAAAATTACTTTAGCACTTTTTTGTAACCGGATATTACGATGTTTGAAATCTCTGAGCAAAGATAAGAGGCATGGGAAAATATCCAAAAAATTAATAAGATTTTTGATTACGGAATAAAAACTGAACAAAAATTTCATTATAAAGGGTGCAGCATTATTATGCAATGTATTTTTCATAAAACGTATACCGTACACTCATAAGAGAATAATATCGTAAAGGGCATCTGATAACATTATAACATTATATTAACATTATACTTCATTTCGATTTAATAGTAACTATGTGCAATAACGTCTTCAAATGTAATATATATTACACAAAAACATAAACCTTAATACGTAAGGAAGTAATAGTCATTAATCGAGTAATCGGCCATTATTTCAAATAAACTGAAGTTAGTAATCAGATAATAGATAACAAATCACATCTAATATTCAAAAGGAAACTGATAACAGTTTTACAAATTTAAGAAGGGATTCATTAAAAAGGGTTTTAAAAGTATCTAAGTAGGAAAAAACCTATTAATTTTCTTTAAGTTAACAGTGAAAGTGTTCAATGATCAAGATCCATATTGTTTTCACTGAAGACGAATCAGACGAGAGTCATTAAAATCATAATTCTCGTGTGGTCCGAAGGCCGAATGTTAGGAAGAGCCAGGGAGAGAGGCGTCGCCGATCCGCAAGTATAAAAGCCAACAGAAAGAGGTGTAGAGCATCAAACAACCACGAGATCTCCGCAAGACAACATGAAAGCGTTCTTGGTAGGTAAACGTGTGCAGTGAAAGTGCTCTGTGACCTGTGTGTGACCCGCGTTGCTCTGCAGTCGCGCTTCCTTGTAGGATGTGACTCGGTGCTCGCCGCGACACAATCGATCGCATCTCACGTATTACAAACGATTTGTTACGACTGAAGATAGCAATCTTTTGTCACAAATTGGTTCGGGATTGTCATTTAAATTTTGCGATTTTTTTTTGCTTAGTGAAACTATAAGTCATTTAATATTTGACCTTTTACTTACGTCTTGTCTTTAACTTCTTTCGATATTCCAGTTTTAGAATTATTTTTAATAAAATATTTACGAGTCCTTATTTTAATCACAGGGCATTCAAATCGAATGATAAATATCGATGATTATTTTTTACAAACACTGACCAAAAATTGTTGTTTATAGGTTTTAGCAGCCGTTGCGGCTATCGGCTCGGCTAGGCCCGAGGCAGGATACAGTTACAACGCGCCAGGAGGCGGCGGTCTCGGTGGACATGGAGGAGGATTAGGTGGAATCGGCGGAGGAATCGGTGGAGGCCACGGTGGATTTTCATCCGGCGGAGGAATTAGCGGAGGACACGGCGGATTCTCGTCCGGCGGTGGTTTCTCCTCTGGTGGCTTGAGCTCCAGCAGCTTCGGAATCGGCGGCGGACTCGGAGGTGGAATTGGCGGCGGAATCGGCGGTGGATTCACCTCAAGCGGCGGCGGTGGCGGCTTCGGTGGCGGCAGCGGCTTCGGCGGAGGCAGCGGCTTCGGCGGCGGTAGCTTCGGTGGCGCACCCATCGTTCAGAAGCACATCTACGTCCACGTTCCCCCACCAGAACCTGAAGTACAGCGCCCACAAATCATCGGAGGTGGTGGCGTTCCCCAGAAACACTACAAGATCATCTTCATTAAGGCCCCCGCACCTCCCGCGCCCGTCGCACCTATCATCCCCGCTCAGGCACAAAACGAAGAAAAGACCCTCGTCTACGTGCTGGTCAAGAAACCCGACGAACAACCCGATATCACTATCCCCACTGCCGCGCCCACTCAGCCCTCAAAACCCGAAGTTTACTTCATCAAATACAAGACCCAAAAGGAGGGTGGTTCTATCGGAGGTGGTTCCATTGGCGGTGGTATCGGTGGTGGCATCGGTGGTGGCATCGGTGGTGGCAGCATTGGCGGTGGTCTCTCTGTTGGCGGCATCGGCGGTGGACTTTCTGGTGGTAGCATTGGTGGTATCTCTGGTGGAGGCATCGGTGGTGGCCTTTCTGGTGGTCACGGAGGCATCTCTGGTGGCAGCATTGGAGGCGGACTATCCAGCGGCCACGGTTCCGGAGTCAGCTCCTCCTACGGACCCCCAGGACACTCCGCTGGTCCGTACTAAATACCGCACCAAGCGTGCACATATGTGATACCTGCTTCGCTGGCGACAAACTTAGTATTAAGTAGAGAAAAAATTACGGTGCCTAAATGTATTTATGTAAATAGTAATTTTAATATGTAATTTTAGTTGTATTATAAAATTCTTTTTTGCATAAAAATCGATAAACCAACGAACATAATATTTTTATTACATCCTACAAAGCCCTTCTAAAATATAATAACAATTAACAAAACGTCATACACAATATAAAATATACACAAGATCATTAAAATTTAAAATATTTACTTGTAAATCCAATACAATATATTTAACTTCATTCTTTACATAACCAAACTCAATTAACAGATAATAAAAAATTTGCTGTTCTCCTTGCTTAAAAAAGAAAGATATATTCCAAATTTTGAAATAGGAAATAACAGAATATGCGAAGGTTTTTTATCGTGTCTTCACAAATCTATTAAAATGATGAGTGAAACAGGTGTCTAGATTTGGTAGAAAGTTGTATTTTCACTGTGGTGGGAGACAGTTATGCAACACGAGGGCAGTGTGACCCCAGTTGCGTAATATCAGAAAGAAGCTCCGGGTTACAACACACATCGCCAGAAAATAAGTAAGACTCGCTAAATATTGATTATGTAAACACCTACTCTCTTTCAACAATTCCGTTGCGTAAACATTGATATATTTGGAAGTTTTCCTTTTTCACATTGTAAAGTCCATAATTTGTACATTGAAAACCGCTCTCACGTATGCTCGTATAATGTTTTATAAAAAGTTCCCTTTAAATATAATATTATTAATACATGCACCATACACACAAACTCAAGACAAGCTCATTATGAGAATACTATTTTTACTTTTAATTAGACATAATATATACTTATAATCCATAATTATCACTAACATTTACTAAATATCAACGTCACTAACTCAGGTCCAATTTTTTACGTTTAATCTTAATGTATTCAAGTGGACACGATTAGCGACATAATAAATACGCGGTAGCTAAGCGCTAACTATGACATGCTATGATAACCGCTAAATATAACAGAAAGGGATGCAGCCGGGTTCGATTCCCGCCGGCATGGATAAAATTGTGTTGATAAATTGCGATTTTGTGTGCTGATTTACCAAGAGTTTGACAGTAAACGTTAGGAAACCTACATGAGAAATAACCGGAGGCCATTTTACTAGCAATTACACAATCCTTAATAACATATTGGTTCTTAATCGAGGATAAAAATATACATGGGCCTTTACCCACCCTCAAGTAGATAGAATGCCCGTTTGTGTTTCTTATCTCGTATAAAAATATGAAAAAATACTTGAAACCAAGTTGTTTCATTATCAAAAGTGTTATCCATTAGAAATATTAAGTCGTCTTATAACCCAGAAATAAGCTATTACGTCGGGGAAACCTAGAACCTGAGTAGCTCAGGCAGAATATTCACCTGCTCTCTAGTAAGATTACTCGATCTTTTTACTCGATTGTTATCTAGTTTTTTTCTTTTTTGTTTCATCTCATGATCCATCTATATTAACTGTATGTTAGTTAACTCACCAAAAACCTTACAGGTGATCTGAAGATTGGCCTCGAACGAAATCATCAGCATCATCAGCACCATCGTTACAATTCCTTCTTGTATACAGCTCACAGCAAGTTTTCTCGAGGTGTTTTCCTTCAGAGTCAAACAATTTAATCGGTGCAGGCTGGCATTAAAACCGCGTGCTTAATACCTGAGCTTGCACAGATCTTCGTGAGCTTATTAATACTAGACAGGAAACAGTTTTAGTATTGTGCACAAATTTTACCTTTGGCTCGGAGTCCGATTCAAACAACTCTAACTCGGTCGTTTAAGTTTTAATAAACGATAGTTTAATAGCTATATTACATAATGAGTCTGTTATCGTAGACAAAGTTATGATTTAGGATAGGTGGTGAAACTCCTTTTTTACCAAAGAGTCCGTTTGGTTTGGTACCACTCGTTACACATTTCTAGCGCCAAGCAATAGTGCGTGTACTGATATGTTCTCGTCTAAATATGTATAAAAAGCCAGTATAATTAAAGGGTGTGAGGCATTTCACCTTAGTCTTCAGAAGAGATAACGCATCTGTAGTCTTCGTTATCTGAAGTTAGTTGCTAGTTTTTTTTTTTTTGCGAAGATAAGGCCTGTACGTAGGGAGGCGGAAAGAAGGTTGGTTATGTTAGGAAGGAGGCTGAAGCTTTTGTGGCCTCTTTTGGGGGGAGGTGTGTAAATGTTAGTTTTATACGTGGTAGAGTCATGCTGCAGCTTAATTAAGGTTGTAGCACAGATAGGTTGGCTCGAACTGGGAAGGACCACGCTCTCACAGAAAACCAGCGTAAAATAGCAGGTTAACGTGCGTGTCTCGTATGCTGAGTGTAGAGAACCATAGACCCGTTTTACTGTAATCAAGGCATTCCATCTTAGTCCTCAGGAGTGACAACGGATATGCATTTTGATTCTTAATCTGGGTGAAATGTAGATGTCTCTGGACCACAGCATCTACTCGTCATCAGGTGGACTGTGTGCTCGTTTGTCACCCTTATTCTATAAAAAAAGTTGCAGTTGTACTTGGGCTGGAGTAGCCACTTACCAATAAAAGACTCTAAGTTTGTTTGTCATTTCAGTTTCATTAAAAAATATGTTCCGTTCACACGTGGTAGAAGTGAAACCTTCAGAAAAAGAGACCGAGCTAATAGGAAACACTGTATACTGTATTCTCTTTCATTTTCTCGCAGGCTAAATAAAAGGTGTATACGTTTTGAGTGTCGCTTTTTAGTTTCGTTGATTTTCGAATCACACGACTTTAAAGAACTTAGCGTTTTTTTTAAAACAAGTGTGTTTACAGAAACTAATACTTGCTTGTAAACTGTTGCTTTCTAACAGTAGCTTAAAGCAACGAATGTCAATAGTCCGACTAGATGGAGCAGATACCAAGTAGAGACGTGCGTTAAACATTCGGATATAATACGTAACAATGCGAAATAAGTTGCCAGTTTAAATATTTCTGACTTGATGCACGTTGTGTGGCAATTCCCGCGGAAATTACTACATTGAATGTTTTAATTCACTTGAAACACGAAGCCTGAGATGAAATTAAAAGATACGTTTCACGAACATTATCATTGCTAGTTAGAAAATTAACTTACCGTGTAGTAGTAGTGTAAGGGTATCCACTACCCTATATCGTAACCTGGGCAGCATAAGACGCGAAATAAGGAAATCAGAAGATGAACAGCAGTGTCTTCCTAATAACAGCTAAAATATCAAACAGCTGTTGCTTACCCGCTTGCCAAGCATAGCAACCATGGTAAATATCCCAACTATGTTCAGTAGTAGATTTTTATAGGCTCTCATGAAATGGTATAATGAAAACTAGCTAAAAACTACAACATTAGGAAGGATCAAATTCTCAGATTGAGGTTTGTACGACGTATCGGACGTTAACGCTGCTCGTAATCACCGGTCTTAATACCGTAGATCTCTATTAGTCATTTGAATTTGAATGAAACTATTTTCAGTAATACGCCAAACAACTCGTTTTTATAGATATGAATGAATTGATATGTAATAATGTCCTCCAGATCAAATTTCGGCCACGGTGGCCTGCCTCAACCGAGACTAGCCATCGGCGCAGGACAGGATTATGGTGCCCAAGTGAGTGCGCAAGCACAGGTGCACTCTCTATTCTCTCACTCCGGACACGACCGGAGAGAGATCAGGCACAGGACCAACGGCTTTACGTGCTTTTCGAGGCACTGGGGTGAAACATAACCAACTTCCTAATTCCGGGATGCTACTGAGAATTTCTTGACAGGAAAACACCACAACTGATTTTGGCCCGACCCGGGATTTGAGCCCGGGACCTCATGATTACTAAACGCGTTTACAATAACTAGGCCAACGAGGCAACCAAGTGAAAATACTTTTTTTTAAATATAGGATAAGGTGAAAAACGAGCACACAGTCCACCTGATGGTAATTGGTTGCTGTGGTCCATAGACATCTACATCTATCCTCGATTACGAATCAAAATGAGATGCGTTGTCACCCGTGAGGACTAAGATGGAATGCCTCGTTTCCAGTTAAAAGGGTCTCCGGTTTTCTACACTCACCATATGAAACACAGCAGCATTAAGCTACTATTTTACGCTGGTATTCTGTAAGAGCGTGGTCCTTCCCCGGTCGAGCCGACCCATTCGTGCTACAACTATACTTCTAATATAACTGCAGCTTGGCTCTACCACAATTAAAGGGGACAAAATGGCATTTAATCATTTGAAACCTTTCTGATGCAATAAACGTCAAATTAAATATTAAAACATTTTTTCTTTTAATGATGATCTAAGATGCGTAATCGAATGTGCATAAAGACTATTATGCGTGTTATTATTATTATACAAGTTTTATAAGAACAAGTAATACCCCGACCCGTTACGTAACTTTAAAGTTATACAATGAAGCGTCGACTACAAACCGTTCTAAACCTTATTTGCTTGAAAGCAAGGAAATATTTCATTTGACGTTAAACATCGAAAATGTGTGTGAACAAGTCATGAGCCCCAGTCGAGAGTGAGAGTGGTTGGTACGAAACACGTGCTTTCGCTGTTTATCTGAAACACACCGAGCTCAAAACAAGAAGGATATTGAAATTTACATGTAATAACATTTTAAGATTTTTGTCATATTTTATACGTGCTATATGTATTGGATCGACCGGGGAAGTACCACGCTCTCACAGAATACCAGCGTAAAATAGCAGCTTAATACTGCTGTGTTTCGTATGGTAGGTGTAGAGATCCGGAGACCCTTTTTTACTGAAAACGAAGCATTCTATCTTGGTCCTCAGGGGTGAAAACACATCTGCGTTTTGATTCTTAATCGAGGATAAATGTGGATGTCTATGGGCCACAGCATCCACTTACCATCAGGTGGACTGTGTAAAAAATCATCATCATCATCATTACATCAGTGTT